ACTCTGGACTCGCTCTGTCCTCTAACATCTCGGCAGGCTCGTCAGTCCCCTCCTGATCCCTGGCTAAATGATGCGCTGCGTGCTAATAGAACCGTCCTTAGGGCAGCAGAGCGGAAATGGTGGAAATCCAAACACCGTGACGACCTCCTAACCTATCAAGCTCTCCTCTCCTCTTTCTCTGCTTCGATCTCTCAGGCAAAAAGCACTTTCTTTCAAGATAAGATCCAATCTTCCTATTCCAATCCTAAAAAACTATTTTCCATCTTCTCCACCCTCTTGGACCCTCCAAAAGCTCCTCCCCCCTCCTCACTTCTGTCAAGCGACTTTGTTACCCACTTTGAAAAAAAGGTTGATGATATTCGCTCTTCTTTTTCTGACTCACCTTTACTCACCGCTGGGTCACCAGACCCTCCTTCCACCAACACACTTACCTCCTTTTCCCCTCTCTCTCCAAGTGAGGTTCTTACCCTCATTACCTCTGCCCGCCCTACCACCTGTCCTCTGGACCCTATCCCTTCAAACCTCCTTCAGACTATCGCTCCTGATATTCTACCGTTTCTCACCCATTTCATCAACACTTCTCTAACTTCTGGTCACTTTCCAAACAGTCTCAAGGAGGCAAGAGTAAACACTCTCCTAAAGAAACCCACTCTCAACCCGTCTGATGTTATAAACTACAGGCCTGTCTCTCTCCTCCCGTTCCTGTCTAAATCACTTGAACGCGCTGTCTTTAAACAACTCTCCTGTTATCTCAATCAGAACAACCTTCTGGATCCTCACCAGTCTGGTTTCAAGGCAGGTCACTCCACAGAAACTGCTCTCATTGCTGTCACGGAGGAACTGCACACTGCCAAAACTGCATCCCTCTCCTCTGTCATCATCCTGTTGGACCTGTCTGCTGCATTCGACACGGTGAATCATCAGATCCTCCTTCGCACTCTCCAAAAACTTGGAGTTTCAGGCTCTGCACTTTCCCTCCTCACCTCATACCTGAAAGACCGTACCTACAGGGTGACTTGGAGACGGTCTGAGTCCGACCCTTGTCAATTAACTACGGGGGTCCCTCAGGGCTCTGTTCTTGGTCCCCTCCTCTTCTCCCTGTACACAAACTCGCTCGGATCAGTCATTAGCCCGCATGGTTTTTCTTACCACTGCTACGCTGATGACACCCAATTAATTCTGTCCTTTCCCCACTCAGAGACCCAGGTCGTCGCACGCATCTCTGCTTGTCTAGCTGACATCTCTCAGTGGATGTCTGCTCATCACCTCAAACTCAACCTTGACAAGACTGAGCTGCTCTTCCTTCCGGGAAAAGATTGTCCCACTCTTGACCTAACAATCAACATCGGCACCTCAGTTGTTTCCCCGACTCAGACTGCAAGGAATCTGGGTGTGACCCTAGATAACAACCTGTCCTTCACTGCAAACATCGCTGCTACAACCCGTTGCTGCAGATACACGCTTTACAACATCAGGATGATACGTCCCCAGCTGACACAGAAAGCGACTCAGGTTCTGGTCCAGGCTCTCGTCATCTCACGCCTAGACTACTGCAACTCCCTCCTGGCTGGTCTACCTGCATGTGCCATCCGACCTCTGCAGCTCATCCAGAATGCAGCGGCTCGTCTGGTCTTCAACCTTCCTAAATTTTCCCACACTACTCCGCTCCTACGCTCGCTTCACTGGCTTCCGGTAACTGCTAGAATCCACTTCAAGACACTGGTACTTGCTTACCATGCTGCGAATGGATCTGGCCCTTCGTACATTCAGGACATGGTTAAACCGTACACCCCAGCGCGTGCACTACGCTCTGCATCAGCCAAACGACTCGCTGCGCCCTCGCTGCGAGGGGGACCCAAGTTCCCAACGGCGAAAACACGTGGGTTTGCTATCCTGGCTCCAGGATGGTGGAATGAGCTCCCCATTGACATCAGGACGGCAGATAGCTTGCACATCTTCCGGCGCAAACTGAAAACTCATCTCTTTCGACTCCACTTCGAGCGATAGAACTATTAACGAAGCACTTTTATACTAATAAAGGACTGGCTTTTCTAAAGCCAGTTGAGTAGCACTTGAAATGTTTTTGCTCTATGAAACCTGATGTACTTATATGATTCTGTTTTCTTCAAGTTGTATTTTGTTGGACGAACGCACTTATTGTAAGTCGCTTTGGATAAAAGCGTCAGCTAAATGCAATGTAATGTAATGTAATCATCTCAATACTTTGTTATATACCATTTGTTGGAAATGACAGAGGTCAAACGTTTTCTGTAAGTCTTCACAAGGTTTTCACACACTGTTGCTGGTATTTTGGCCCATTCCTCCATGCAGATCTTCTCTAGAGCAGTGAGGTTTTGGGGCTGTCGCTGGGCAACACAGACTTTCAACTCCCTCCAAAGATTTTCTATGGGGTTGAGATCTGGAGACTGGCTAGGCCACTCCAGGACCTTGAAATGCTTCTTACGAAGCCACTCCTTCTTTGCCCGGGCGGTGTGTTTGGGATCATTGTCATACTGAAAGACCCAGCCACGTTTCATCTTCAATGCCCTTGCTGATGGAAGGAGGTTGTCACTCAAAATCTCACGATACATGGCCCCATTCATTCTTTCCTTTACACGGATCAGTCGTCCTGGTCCCTTTGCAGAAAAACAGCCCCAAAGCATGATGTTTCCACCCCCATGTTTCACAGTAGGTATGGTGTTCTTTGGATGCAACTCAGCATTCTTTCTCCTCCAAACACGTCTAGTTGAGTTTTTACCAAAAAGTTCTATTTTGGTTTCATCTGACCATATGACATTCTCCCAATCCTCTTCTGGATCATCTAAATGCTCTCTAGCAAACTTCAGACGGGCCTGGACATGTACTGGCTTAAGCAGGGGGACACGTCTGGCACTGCAGGATTTGAGTCCCTGGCGGCCTAGTGTGTTACTAATGGTAGCCTTTGTTACTTTGGTCCCAGCTCTCTGCAGGTCATTGACTAGGTCCCCCCGTGTGGTTCTGGGATTTTTGCTCACCGTTCTTGTGATCATTTTGACCCCACGGGGTGAGATCTTGCGTGGAGCCCCAGATCGAGGGAGATTATCAGTGGTCTTGTATGTCTTCCATTTTCTAATAATTGCTCCCACAGTTGATTTCTTCACACCAAGCTGCTTACCTATTGCAGATTCAGTCTTCCCAGCCTGGTGCAGGTCTACCATTTTGTTTCTGGTGTCCTTTGACAGCTCTTTGGTCTTGGCCATAGTGGAGTTTGGAGTGTGACTGTTTGAGGTTTGGACAGGTGTCTTTTATACTGATAACGAGTTCAAACAAGTGCCATTAATACAGTTAACAAGTGGAGGACAGAGGAGGCTCTTAAAGAAGAAGTTACAGGTCTGTGAGAGCCAGAAATCTTGTTTGTTTGGAGGTGACCAAATACTTATTTTACCGAGGAATTGACCAATTAATTCATTAAAAATCCTACAATGTGATTTCCTGGATTCTTTCCCCCCATTCTGTCTCTCATAGTTGAAGTGTACCTAGGATGAAAATTACAGGCCTCTCTCATCTTTTTAAGTGGGAGAACTTGCACAATTGGTGGCTGACTAAATACTTTTTTGCCCCACTGTATGTGCTTAGTGTCGTGTGAAATATGTGTTTAGAGTAGAGTGTTTAGCTTCCCTCAATTAGCTGTGTTTTCCTGCAGCCTCATTTTGTTAGTGTTGATTGGTAGTGATTTCAGGTGTGAAACTAGGCTCACTTTTAGGCCCAATCCCAAACCACTCCCTCGACCCTACCCCTCCGTGACAGAGTGAACTCCGTCTGTAGCCACACTCGCAGCTCAACGAGGCTCCCTCCTGTCAGATGGAGGGAGTGAATATAGCGGCAAGCTTTCTAGACTAAACACAGGTACGATCCTAAGTTAAAACATATGAGGTTATCATGAGGTTGTTAACATCGCAGTTTATCAGTGGATGTTTGCTGGAACTACTTGTTAACAGCGTGTTTCCTGACGGACACACACAGCGTCAGCACCGCTGCAGACTCGCTGTTTGAGGGCTCGATAGCCCACTCCCCCTCCACACCGCTCGACACTCGTTGGTTTGGAACAGCCCTCAATATGGCGGACCCTCCGCGTGAACGCGCAAACGGAGGGGTAGGGTGTAGGGGGCGGTTTGGGAATGGGCCTTACGGCCCGTCCACACTACAGCTTCAAAAAAAGCTTGGAGCTGGGCGTGTCTGAAGCTCGACCAACAACCAATCACATGAATCTCCCGCCCCTGACACACAAGCAGTGGTTTGATTGGCTAGAGCTTGTACTGGCATATGATTTGATTGGCTGACGCTTCCACCGAAAGCTTCAGAAGCTTCAAAAGTTGAACATTGCTCAACTTTTGCAGCCTGAAACGCCAGGAAAGCTCTGCTCTGCTTCCCACAATGCAGTTCGGCGAAAAGTGACGTCACCCCATTCAAAGTGAATGGGCAGACGCGTTGGAAACCGTTTTTGAAGCTGTCGAAGCTGTAGTGTGGACGGGCCGTTAGAGTCCTCCTTCCGTCATTAGCAGTAAACTTGCGCCCTTTTGGCTTGGCTTAGGCTATGTTTTGCTCTCAATTTGTTGGACACCTTTTTTGTTATTTATTAAACCCAAGTATAATTATTTACCAAAACCAACTGGTGTGTGTTACCTTCCTCATCCCTAGTGGGTTCGTAACAATATGTAAGTCATGAAGTATAACAGTAACAACTACAGGTGGTCACATTTAAATGTTTGCACCCAGCCTTATGTTTATTTATCTTCCTTTTTTGTCATCTATGTTTGTATTACTGTTGTCCTTTTTGTCCCCCTTACGTCCCCCTCAAAAGCATCCTTTGGTGTCATGATAGGCACTATATAAATAAAGTGATAATTAGTACACTTTGAGGACGAATAATGGATCAAAAACTGTAAAACACTGCAAATGGCTTCATATGCATCGTTGAAAACAAAGTTGTGATCAACTGATTGGGCACCACCCATCTGTACCTCTCCTCCAATCAGCAGCAGCTGCTCCGCGCCCCCCCTCAGCAGGGTGCTTCCTGTCTGCAGCAGTGGTTGAGCGCTGGGCGTAGCGTGGTATCCCAGAGCCTCCTGCAGCAGAGCCTGGCAGCTTTCCTCCGTCAGCAGGGCCCTCAGCGCCGGCACCACCCGCTCCACCAGCTCCCCCCCCGCCATCAGGGGGAAGCGGATGTGGGAGAGGAGGTTCCTGGCGTGGGGGGTGCGCTCAGGAGTGGTGCTGAGCCACCGCAGGGAGGCCTGCAGGAGTGCCTGCTCGCTGTCATGCTGCACCTGAGGGTGGAGGTGAACAGGAAGTGAATTTTCTACAAACAAGATCAGGATCCCATCTCACCTGCAGCTGCTTATCATGTCTATGTACAGTCAAAAACAAACCAAAAAAATAAAAGGTGGGCAACTGACAACCTATGCCTCCTTATCCAAAGAGTTTACTACATGTTCTCTCTTCTTCCCTGGCTGGCATTAAAGATGGTAGTGGGCTGTGAGGTGTGCCGGCAGTTTAGATAGACACTGTGTGCACAATTATTATGAAAGAGAGCATTTTGATCATATCATCATTTTCATGCATATTTTCCAACTCTTAGCTGTATGAACTTGAATGTGCATTGGATTTAAGGATATCAGGTGATGTGTATTTGTGTAATGAGGGAGGGTGTGGCCTTAGGAGATCAACACCCTACATGAAAACAGGCAAAATGGGCCAAAAAATTGATTTAACTGACTTTTGAAAAGCAAATGTTTTTAATAGTCAACAGGGCTGCAAGAAACATATTGAGGAAAAAATAAGCAAATTAAGTGCCACAGATCTGAGAAGAATCGAACGTGACACTACCAGGAAGCCATTATCCTCCAGTGCGGTCATACTCCAGAACTGTGACCTACCTGAGGGCCCAGAAGTCTCAGGTGTTCAGAGACATGGCCACGGTGAGGGAGGCTGAAACCCCCACTGAACAAGGCACATGAGATCAAGACTGGGCCAAGACATATCTGAAGACAGATTGTGAAAGGTTTTCTGGACTGATGAGATGAGGGGGACTCTGGACGGACCAGATGGATGGGCCCGTGGCTGGATCAGTACCGGGCCCAGAGCTCCACTTCCACTCAGACGACAGCAAGGTGGAGGTGGGTTCTGGTATGGGCTGGTATTATTAAAGAGGAGCTAGTTGGACCTTTTCAGGTTGAAGATGGACTCTAAATCAACTCCCAAACCTACTCCCAGTTTTTAGAAGACACTTTCTTCCATTAGTGGAACAGGAAAAGGTCTGCATCTTTCAGGAAGACCATGATGTTATGAAGGACACTGCTCCATCGCATGCATCCAAGTACTCCACTGTGTGGTTAACCAGTGAAGGCCTTACAGATGAAAGAATAATGACACCCTTCCTCACCTGACCTAAACTCTATAGAGAACTTGTGGGCCCTTCTTAAAAGGGAGATTTACGTTAAAGGAACACAGTACAGCTCTCTGATCAGAGTCTGGGAGGCTGTGGTTGATCGTCAACAGATCCAGAAACTGACAGACTCCATCAATGGAAGGCTCATGACTGTTATTGAAGAGAAGGGTGGCTATATATATATATATATACATATATATATAGTTGTTTGTTTACTATTCTCACTTTAACAAGTGAAAATAAACATGTGAGATGGGATCATTTTTGTTGTTCCTTTAGTTGCATAATAATTGTGCACACATAGATGAGGCATGTGGCGCAGTGGACTAGTGAGTTGGTGTTGGGATCAGGGGAGGTTCAAACCCCACTGCAGTCAGCATGTCGTTGTGTCCCTGAGACACTTCACTCCATCCTGTGGGGATTGCCCACAGAGTACTGAGGATGTTAGTCGCTTTGGATAAAAGCGTCTAACAAGTGTCATGTCATGTAATGTAAATAGATATTCTCCTAAGAAAGCCAAAACCTCACTTTGACTTTCTTATATTTTCAGGTTTGAAGTTTATTAACATTTTGGATTGACGCAGAGCACTAGTTGTTCAATAATTAAAATAATCCTCAAAAATATGACTTGTCTAATAATTGTGCACACAGGGTAAGCTTGGCAAGGTAAATGGATACAGGGACATTGTTACCATCAGTGTTACACTTTTACCAAAAAGCTGTGGCTGTTTAAAGGAATGAGGATGGGAGGCTGGGGGGTGAGGAGACACTGATCAAACCTCACTGTTGTGAGTGTCATCTTAATGATGGGAAGGAATAATGATGAAAGTGAAAAACTGATTCAGTGCTGAACACATTTCCTCTTTACTTTAAAAAACAAAAACACTCTTCATACACGTTATAGAATTTATTTTGTAATTTAACATACTAAATACTAGATAAAAATACAACTGAAGGACTTATGTTTGCTATGAATAACAATGTATTTGTAGCAGAAGTGTGTAATGAATGATTGAGGAATGTGTTTGGCTTAATGATGGTTAAAAGATACAACTTCTACATTCTGCACAGCTGCATTAAAGGTCACATGTCATGCTTTTCCGGTTATTACCCGTCACCTTGTGTGTTATGAAGGTTTTTATGCATGTAAACGGTGTGCAGAGTCAAAACCCTCAAAGTACACCCTGTAGGGAGTAAAACTCTAAAACAGAAAATACCTCCCCAAAACGCCTCGTTGGTGAAACGTCATCATCCATTTGATTCTTCCGGGTACAAGATTACGTAAGCACGTACCCGGAACTAAATGGACCAATCCGTGGAGCCGTTACGTTACGTCCGCGGAGCCGTTACGTTAAGCCCCCGCTGATTGGTCCAAATTGACCAATCCACGGACTTCCTCACACACTCAGTGCAGGCAGCTCTGCTGATCTCTCCTCCCTGGCTGCAGGCTGATAACAGACAGTTGGGATCGCGGCGAAATTCTCTCTGCAGACCCATTCTCTCTACAGACCCATTCTCTCTGCAGACCCGTTCTCTCTGCAGACCCATTCTCTCTGCAGACCCATTCTCTCTACAGACCCGTTCTCTCTGCAGACCCATTCTCTCTGCAGACCCATTCTCTCTGCAGACCCATTCTCTCTGCAGACCCATTCTCTCTGCAGACCCATTCTCTCTACAGACCCATTCTCTCTGCAGACCCATTCTCTCTGCAGACCCATTCTCTCTGCAGACCCATTCTCTCTGCAGACCCATTCTCTCTGCAGACCCATTCTCACAGCGTTTATCAACCTTTTTCTTACTCAATATCAAGCCACACTTATTGTTTTTACTTCGGCTGTGACTTTGTGTGTGCTCAGGATGAGTTTGGCTGTGTATCGCTAAACAAGGAAACAACACCTCCACGGAGCTCAGCGCGATTCACAACGTCCCGACCAATCAGAGCACACTGTGCTCACAGGGAGGGTGGGGGCTGGAGCTATTGGAGCTACAACGAGCCGTTAAAGGCAGAAAGTGAAATTCAGTGAATACACGTAGTTTACAGAGATGCTGTTTGAGAAACCAATGTGAGTTTGGACCTCAACAATGGAATTATGATCAGTGGAAATGGCCATGACATGTCTCCTTTAACATCCGAGTACTAGTAATGATAACTTTACCATCATACATTTAGGTTTCTTTATTTGACTTGCTTTAACTTTTAATTGATCTTACTATGTTTATGATATGCACCAGCACACTAAAGCAAATTCCTTGTATGTGAAAATCTACTAGGCAATACAATTTATTTTCATTTAAATCATTTTATTCTTACAGAGTGAATAAAGGTTGGAATATATTGATAAAGAAATGTTGCAGCACGTATTTCCTCCCCCCTGAGCAGTGTATGTACCTGTCCGCTGGAGAGGTACGCTGAGAGTTTGTGTAGAGGAATGTGATGCAGGAAGTCGGGGGTGAAGGACAGCGAGACGAAGTGTGTGAGGACGAAGCGGTCCACGCAGGAGTCCAGGCGCTCCAGGCTGTACAGCAGGGCCAGCTGCTGCAGGAACAGGAAGTTGTCCTCACTCAGCCCCCCCTCCAGGTACTGGCAGCACAGATCCACCACCCGCCACACCTGGACCAACCAGCAGCTTTAGTGATCAGAGTTTCATTTCCATCATAATGACATATGCTGTTCATTTATTTACTTTTGAGGGTTTCACTCTATTTGAAGGATATAAGCACTGTGTAAACAATGACTAAGCTTTATAACACTCTGTAACACACTATGGCTACTTATAACCAGGTCTTATTCCAAATGTCCTACTTCTTCCTCTATTACTACAACTCATTATATTGAGGGGGGAGACATCAGGCCCATAACAAACATTATACAAGATATCATTCACTCACCTACTGTAGTGTGACCTTGAATTGTGGCATTGACATTTGGTAAACAGATTGTTGAAGTAGTGTTGCTGTTGTTAACCCTGCCCTCTTTCACATTGAATGCATCAAGACTGTTCTCTGTGTATAGAACCTTTGTACAGCCTGCAGTCGGGCAAGAACATTTTCCTCCAAACTCAAGGTGACACAGGGTGTGCAATTGAAATACAAATAAGTGGCATATTAGCACTTGAAGAATATTGTCACGGTAACAGGTATAAACAGTTGGCATTTTACTTATAGTACAGTCAAATAGATGTATTATAATTGTTAATCATTATAAATTATTTTAAATACTCAACCCAACTAAAAAGATTATCGCATGAATAAATGCCAATTAAAAGAATATGATGAACCTATTCTCCATCTGGAATGATTATTAGCATTCAACACTTTATACGCTTCACTTGTGTCTATTTTGAGTGACCTTTTAATACAATACTGCAGTCGTTTGGACTACAACTGAGCAGAAACCTGTTTTTCATACATACTGTAATTGAATGTGATGCACCCTAATTGTCCTGCAATGTACATGATGTGTTTCACAGGAAGTGTCCCGTTGGTTACCTGCAGGAGGTGGGCCGCCTCCAGCACAGACTCAATGTTCCCCCCGTCCAGCAGCAGCTCCCCGCTGTACAGGAAGTCCACTACAGCCTTCAGACCAATGTAGGACATCCCAACCAGCTCCACCTGGAAAAGGAAGAGGAAGATGCAGGTAATTGGCTTTAGAACACATCATAGCACAAAAAAAAGTTTGAGAACCACTGCTTTAAAGCAGTGGTTCTCAAACTTTTTCAGTCAGGCTCCCCCTTTGGAGAAAAAAAAAAGTCGGGCCCCCCCAACACAAATAGTCAGGCTCCGTGGCGGCGCCAGAGATTTATTTTGGGGGTGCTGTGGGGTAGCTTGACGTTTCATAGAGGGTGCTGAAACATTTAGGGTTTCCCATTAATGTACCTGTCGATACAGTGGAATTTTCTACTGCAACACTCCCCACACGCACACACACAGTGTACCCACAACTGTTACAATGAAGGCTCGATAATCAGCTCACGGCATATAGGTGTAAGCAGGGGTAAAGTGCTATTTTTATAGGTGGTGTGTGGACCTCACATAGGGGGGTCCGGGGGCAAGCTCCCCCGGGAAGATTTTTAAATATTGAAGTTGAAAGCATCAATCTGGTGCACTTTGAGAGCAAAATGAAGAGATCTATGGATACATCTCTCAACACCCAGATGAAACAGAACTGTAAACAGATTTACTTTTTCTTTATGGATATTTTACAAATCACCCTTTTAAACTGTATTCTTGTTTTAATGTCATATAGTATTTCATACCTGTTTTTAATTTATTCTCTTGTTTTTTTATAACTATAATGATCATATAAACGTGTGCCTCGGAAATAATTGTTTACATTAATGATGACCAAAACGTTTGAGACCCACTGAGAGTCCTTTAGCTCACTGAGTCTCTCAGTCTGACAGGAGAGGACTCTCCTCCACTTTGTTGTTGAAAAAACTCCTTATATCCGTTAGCGTAGCTCGCTAGCACCAGAAGCTAACAAGAATAATCTCCGGTACCGGTGCGCTCTCTCTCGCTCGCGCACGCACACAAAATGGCTCGTTCCACACACACACAGAGCCGAGCTTTAATGAAACACAGAGACCCAGACGTAATAGTACTGTACTGCATCATATTATTTTCAATCAATACTTTTTCAAAATAAGTTTTTTTTTTTTTTTTAAATCTTTTTTTTTTTTTAATAACCATTTTTTCCCCTGGTCTCTTGCGCCCCCCCTGTCATGCCCCCCACTTTGAGAACCACTGGGTTAAAGTCACAAATTACATTCTAATAGCCTCAGACAAGGGACTTGTCTCTATTCTTGTTTTGCTCGATCTCAGTGCTGCATTTGATACTATCGATCATGATATCTTATTGCAAAGACTAGAGCACTTAGTTGGCATACAGGGAACTGCTTTAGGCTGGTTTAGGTCCTATCTATCTGAACGCTCTCAGTTTGTATGTGTCAACGATGAATCTTCTACGCAAACCAAAGTTAGCCATGGAGTGCCACAGGGCTCAGTGCTCGGACCTATTTTGTTCACATTATATATGCTTCCGTTAGGCAATATTATAAGGAATCATTCTGTACATTTTCATTGTTATGCGGATGATACTCAACTATATTTATCAATCAAGCCTGATGAAATTAATCATCTAAATAAAATTCAAGACTGCCTCAAGGACTTAAAAACATGGATGACTTTACATTTTTTGATGTTAAACACGGCCAAAACTGAAGTTATTGTACTCGGCCCAAATAATCTACGAAACAAATTATCTAAAGATATACAAACTATGGATGGCATTAATTTGGCCTCCAGTGAGACTGTAAGGAATCTTGGTTTTATATTTTATCAGGATTTATCCTTTAACGCCCACATAAAATCAATCTCAAGGACCGCCTACTTCCATCTACGTAACATTGCAAATATCAGGCATATCTTGCCTCAAAACGATGCAGAGAAACTAGTCCATGCATTTGTTACTTCAAGGCTGGATTATTGTAACTCTTTATTATCAGGGTGTACCAAGAAGTCAGTCAAGTCGCTTCAGCTGATTCAAAATGCTGCAGCTCGTGTACTAACCAGAGTTAGGAAAAGGGACCACATTACTCCTGTTCTGGCTGCCTTACACTGGCTCCCTATAGAACACAGGATATAATTTAAAATTCTTCTTCTCGCCTACAAAGCCCTTAATGGGCAGGTGCCATCTTACCTTAAAGAACTCATTATACCCTACTGTCCTACTAGGGCATTGCGTTCCAAGAATGCAGGGTTGTTGGTTGTTCCTAGAGTCTCTAAAAGTACAATAGGAGCCAGAGCCTTTTCTTATCAAGCTCCACATTTGTGGAATCAGCTTCCAGTTTGTGTTTGGGCGGCAGACACCCTATCCGTTTTAAGAGTGCGCTTAAGACCTTCCTTTTTGATAAAGCTTATAGTTAGGGCTGATTAGATTCAGCCCCTAGTTTTGCTGATATAGGCTTAGTTTGTCGGGGGACATCTTACTTCTTCCTTCTCTCTGTCTATACCTGTGTACTCTCATGTTCCGATTAACTCAGCTTCCCCAAATTTCTTTCTTTTTGGTGTCTATATACGCCGGGATCCGGAGTCATGGATGATCCTGCGGTCCTGTGTCCTGGATTGCGAGCCCTGGATCTTGAGTCGTGGCTGTGGTCCTGGATCATAAGTCCTGGATGGATATCCTTGTGGATTCATCTTCTTATTATAGACCCATGCATTTCCAAACATTTGGACAACCTATATTGCAAATGTATGATCTTTTCAATGTACACACGGCATCTGTCCGTCCTGGGAGAGGGATCCCTCCTCTGTTGCTCTCCCTGAGGTTTCTCCCATGTTCCCCTTTAAACTGTGGGTTTTCTCCAGAAGTTTTTCCTTGTACGATGTGAGGGCCTAAGGACAGAGGGTGTCGTATTGTCATACTGATAGTCTGTACAAACTGTGAAGTCCACTGAGACAAATGTAACATTTGTGATATTGGGCTATAAATAAACATTGATTGATTGATTGAATTAGGAGTTGTATATATGATGTCACTAGAATTTAAAGAGGTTTCCGGTACCTCCTAAGCGGCTGAGCACACGGAAGCTTCTAGATCTGATGCCATTCCTCTGGATATTAATGAAGTTTCTTAGAAATGTTATCTTTTGAATGATTATCCTGTCTATGACATCCTGGAGCTGTTTCCACCTACCATCCACAGCACAAGGCCGTAGGAACAGAGTTAAAGGACACCTGACTAAGCAGAATTTTATTTGACTTCCTCACAGATCCCACGTCATTTTAGGCAGACAGCTACTGACAAAAACTGATTTTAAACTGATTTGTATAAGGATCTCAGACCAAAGACTTACACACAGCTGATCTTTGTTGTGGTTTTTGTGTGTTTTGTGCGGGGTGGAGCTCCTACTTCTCTGTTGTAGAGTTTTCTACAGCATATCTCCTTATAATCATTATCTTAGTGACATTATTAAACCAAGAAACTGAATAAACCTGTGTTGTTAAAGTTTTGGGTTAAAGGTACCTTAGAGCAGGGGTTCCCAACCTTTATTGTGCCAAGGACCGGCAGATACATTAAAAACAATCAACAACTGATTTGAATATTTACTCACCAGCAGGTGGCAACAGAGGCTAATTGTATTTAACAGCCTGAAGAAATACCAATATGCATCCAAAACATATTAACAACGTTTAAAACCAGGATACAATTAAAACAAAAAATTAGGACCGCTATACAAATATTAATATAATATATTATAGGTGGCTAATTGTATGTAGGAGGTTGTCTCCTGTGTGCTCCACTTCCTATTGGCGCACCGGTAACTTTCTCTGCGCACGAGAGGCTGAGACCTTATGCTAACTAATTTTGATTTATTTTGTATGTTTTGGATGAAATAATATGACTGGTATATGTGCGGAAATAAAAAAAAAATAGAATTTTCTTTTGATAAAATATTTTTATATATTTATAATTCTGCAAATATTACGATAAACTCACAGCTATTTCGCGGCCCGGCAGTAACACCTCCGCGGCCTGGACCGGGGGTTGGGAACCCCTGCCTTAGAGAACCCAGATGTAGATACTATATACTACACCCATTATTGACAGTATAGATCCTGACCGACAATGAGTTATCTTGTCATTAAAAGAATATGATTAACCTAGTCCAGAGGTCTGCAACCTTTTTGACCAAAAGAGCCATTTTGCTCCTTTTTCCAAAACATTTTTTTGTCTGGAGCCGCAAAACATATTTCATAGTTTTTTATTGTTATATCAGACAAAAACTACAGTTTTTTTGCATTTATTAGGCTATTTATTACATGATATAAAACTGTTAACCTCTAATAAGAAACAAAGAACTCTTATAAGGAGAATTTAAAATAATACACAGGCCTACTTTAAAATAAATTAAACACAGCACTTGGGGAGTCCTCTGCACATTTGAAGGGAAAAAAAATATTATTAAAATGGGCCCACTTTGAAATAAATAAAACATATAGCTGCACCCTAAAAAGAGTTAAAGGTAGGGTAGGTAAGAATGGAGAAACCAGCTCGAGTGCGCTAGAATTTGAAAATACACAACCGGAAAAAATCTGCCTCTTCCTTCAGACTTTCTTACAGTCCCTCCTCCAACACACACGAACGTGCACATGACCAATGAGGGCACGAGATAAGTTTGTGCACAGATGGAAGGCTGACAGGCAGGTAGGCCATCCAGTTACTTTAGCCGGGCCGGCTCAGATGATTGGTCGTGCTTTTTACAGCGCTACGGCTTCCAGAGATTAATTTTTGTATGTATTTATTGTCAAAGCATTTAATATATTCATTGCTATCGGGACGTTAAGAGCATTCCATGGAATATAACAAAAAGTGTTTTCTGAAATACATGACATACCCCATTGAATGATGACTGAACATCGTCAGCTGTCTTCCTCTCCCTTGTTGTTCCTCGATACGTAAAGGCTGCACCACCGTTGACAACTTCTCTCTACATATCAAACATACCGGTAAACCAGCATCGTTTGCTGTGAAAGCATATAACTCTGTCCACACATAATTAAATCCTGTGTTCCTCCGGTACTTTTCTTTGATTTATCCATAGTTCGCTCATCGAGCCGGGGGTCAGGTTATTCACCTCCAAGAAAAGGCGCTCGCGCGGGACCGTAGCAGGATGTGACGCATATTTTAGTTGACCTAATAAAACCGTTTTGTTTTTTATTAATATGTCACAGTATCACCTCAAAATACAAGACACGAAACATTTTCAAGCATGCAACAAAATATAAATAGTCCTACAAATACTTTTATTTTATTTCCTTCTTATTTTTGTCTAAGCTCAAGGGAGCCAGAGCAGAGGGCTTAAAGGGCCGCATGCGGTTGCCGATCCCTGACCTAGTCTATAGATCTTTATAAGTAAACGTAGATGAAAATGAGAGGAATGCAGTTCTAGAAAAATAAAAAGGAAATAGAATGTGGAAGGAAGACAAAAGGAAACAAAGGCTTCTGTTCAAATCATCAAATTCCCGTAGTATAATCTGTTCTTTGCCTCACTACATGTACCTCTTCCTGGCGTTTCTCCCTCATGCCCAGGGTGAACATGGCGTGGAAGTACGGGCTGGAGAGGGCCAGCAGGGCCCGATGGGCCGGGAGCCGCCTGCTGTCGGCCAGCAGCACCACGTCACACAGCTGGTGCTGCTGCCGCTGCTGGCTGAGGCCCCGCAGCACCCCCCCCGCCTGGTCCCCGCAGCGGAACACCTGCAACACACAGGTCGAGGTCTTAGTGGGGGATTTTTAGACAGTACACACACACTTATTGTGGGTCGAAGGTTCAGTTCAGCAGTGTAGAAAGTGTGCGCAAATGTTACTCATTACAATGTTTCAGTTCGTCCTTGCTGTATGTAAAAATAACATTTAAAGAAATAATATTTGCCATCTGAAAGAATATTTTTGAAAGATTCTAAAATAAGACAACAATTCTAAAAAGGCATTAAAGTTACCCTGAGAAGATGCCGATCATTATTGGCTATATGTGGCAATAGAGTGCCACAGTCCTAAAACCCGGAAGTAAACTCCTTCCTTACCTTAGATTTATGATTCGAAAATTATAAAAGTAGGGTAGACATGTGGATATTATCCGGCTGAACAAAACGTGATCTGTCTCTTCAATTGGCGTCAACCACAGATTTCCAGCTATTTTCCAAAGTCCTATGGAGAAATTGCATTGCTTTTTGTCGAAGGAACCGGAAGTGGTAAAATGCTAACTTACTTCCGGGTTTTAGGACGCGTCACTGTGGCACTCTATGTGTTGATTGTATAACACAATCAACACGTTGTGCCTCTTCACCTACATTTTAGTTCTTACTTCTTACTTCTTCACTTAAAATCCTAAAAGCTTTGATCTTATATTTCAAACTAAGGTTATTACTACTTCTCATTCTTCTAAATCTATCCTCTCTCTACTTCTCACACTCTCTACTCCTGTAATCTATTTCATTCTATTTTCTCTTTATCCAAAACCTTTCCCCTCTCTGACCTCTCGAGGTTCTATGAGAGGGTAACAGGTTGCAGAGAGGCCTATTCCGGCCGGGGAGTGTGGAACGTAGCCACAGACCTACTCCTTACCTCGAACCAATTCAGGTTCCAGTGGGGACCTTTTCCCTGCGTGTGCCTCTCCACCTCTGTTTCCTACTTCTTACTTGCTACCCTTTTCCCTCAACCTATCCTAAGGGAGTGCATGTACGTAGACACGTTGTGTTCCTTACTTCTTACTTGCTACCCCTTTCCCTCAACCTATCCTAAGGGAGTGCATGTACGTAGACACGTTGTGTTCCTTACTTCTTACTTGCTACCCCTTTCCCTCAACCTATCCTAAGGGAGTGCATGTATGTAGACACATTAGTTTAGCTGCTATAGGCTTGGACTGTTGTGGGGGGGCACCTTACTCCGTCTTTCTGGCTGTTTGTACCTGTGTACTCTCATGTTCCGATTAACCCAGCTTCCCCCAAATCTCTTTTTTGTGTCCATATATACGCCGGGATCCTGAGTCGAGGCTGATCCTGTTGCTGTGGTCGTGTCCTGGATCCTCTATCCTGAGTACTGGATCTGAGTCCTGGACTTCGAGTCCTGGCTGAACCTGTCTCTGCGGTCCTGCCTGACTCTCATCATACTACTTCCCTGATGGCTCCCACAAGATTGTTGACATCCTCGTGGATTAATCTTCCTATTATACATTTGGACTACCTATGTTATAAATGTATTATCTTTTCGATTTACACACGGCATCTATTGCACGTCTGTCCGTCCTGGGAGAGGGATCCCTCCTCTGTTGCTCTCCCTGAGGTTTCTCCCATGTTTCCCTTTAAACTGTGGGTTTTCTCCAGAAGTGTTTCCTTGTACGATGTGAGGATCTAAGGACAGAGGGTCTAAGGACAGAGGGTCTAAGGACAGAGGGTCTAAGGACAGAGGGTGTCGTATTGTCATACTGATATTCTGTACAAACTCTGAAGTCCACTGAGACAAATGTAACATCTGTGATATTGGGCTATATAAATAAACATTGATTGATTGAATAGTATTGTTGGGCATCAAGGACACACACAATGGTTGTTGGTGAGATAGACTGAATGTAAACGTAACCATGTTTGTTTACAAGAAACAAATTATAAAAAATATGAAATGTTTCACGTTCTTAAATGTTGATGTCTTATTTAAACACTGCTATATTGTATACTTTATTTATACAAATACTCACTTTTGATAATAGAAAGTAATATATATATATATATATATATATATATCCAAAAGTAAGGAAACGTATTTCCTGGGAGTCACTTTCAGGTGTATTTCTCTACTGTACAGAAGCTGCTTCCTTCTTGTTTGTGTTTATTTGTTTCAAAGTCTGACTCTGGCTCAGTCCCCTACTTACTGACAAACACATACACACCTGGGAGGATTCACCGATCCGCTTGGGCCGACACACTTGACTCGGTTTGCCGTTGTCCATTATCTTCCCTTAGGCAGACACCATCTACACACACACACACACACACACACACACACACACACACACACACACACACACACACACTCAAATGAGCAGCATCCTGTCTCCTTGCTGAATATTATATTGGCCCTCATACTGTTAGCTAGGAAACACAGACAGTCAAAAACAATAATAACAAATAACTATGTAATGTCACTGTGGGAATCAAACTCTAGAAAGCTGTGATAAACTGACAGTGCTTACATTAGTCGTCTCGTGGAGCAGCTGAGCACAGAGATACAGTCAGCATCTCTTGCTGCAGGTTAGCACTTTCAGGAGGAAACGATCAGCACGAGGGCTTTCTAACGACGACAGACACGGGACCGCATCCCGCGAAGGTCTTTGGATCACAGGGTCTTCTTATAGAGACAAACTCCTGAAATACATAGTGTTTTAAACCATAGCAAGAGCTAAACAAGGTAGCATATCGCCTATTAGTTGAATAAACAAAACGGCTTCCGGTTTAGTTTTTCAAAATAAACTACTGTGTGATAGCTTTTTAAAGGGTTTTTTGTTTTGTTTTTCAAGATAAATAATTACTTGAAGTTATAGCAGTCACATGTTATTTCTGTTTATTGTAAGCAAGCTGTTATTAGCGCTCATATTGTTAACATCCACTCCACCTCCCCATTTTACTTATCCCTTGTAATTTTGCCATTTTATTTTGAAGCCGAAACCTTTCAATCCGGTGGCAAACATCCGGGAAGTAGCCTGATGGACCGATCATATCCAGCTCTGTGCGAGCGCGTTCAATAAACGCAATGTTACGGAACGTTTCAAAGACATTTAACTCTTCCATGATCCATACTAGTAAGGAGGGCTGGCTGAACGTGCATGTAGAGCTGCATTTGTTTGAATAAGGACGATATTACTGGTGATGACGAGCCTTATGAAGCTTTCCAGCCAATTGGTTCGCGAAAGGGTTCATCTCATGAGGCTTCATCATGGGCTTCATTTGAACACAAACCCCCCTGTTGGTCAAAGTGTGTAAAACAGGTAGATTTGACATCTCAACAGTGTGCTCTCTCATACCGAGTTCCCAATGAGTAAAGCCTCACCCCGTTTCCACCGGGTCCGTCTGCGTCAAGTTACGGCCGTGTTGCGCCACAGCCAGTAGCGTAGGCAGAAATGTACTTTAGGGTGGACCTGTAAAAAATAGGGTGGGCCAGATTTTTCTTCTGCGCATCAGAAGCTAACAACAATCCCCGCCGGTACCGGTGGCAGATTACTTTTGGAATACTTTTTTTCCCATAACAGATGGGTATGTTTTGGTGAACAGGAGACACGTATTTTATCGTTTTAATGGCTTATCAAGAGCACAAACACAACATATTGGTGTCATTCTGGACAGCTCTCTCATCTGCACCACACATAAATCACCCGGACTGAATTATTTGTACTGTCTTAAAACCTTTCCTTAGAATATGTTATGAATTGTAAGGTGTCCTTGGGTGCTTTGAAAGGCGCCCCTAAATAGAATGAATTATTATTTATTATCTGAAACGATGTAATAACTTTTAAAAAAATGTCCAGTCACTTGCCCCATGCATTCAGCAGCAGCAGGTCATTCACATTGATTTTATCCCGTTATAAATGTCATCATTTCGACAATAAAGAAATGCTACATAAACGTTATCTTGCACATTTTATCAAACCATCTCCGTTTCTAACTTTCAATATATTTTGAAAGATCTCTCATCTGCGTGCGGGGGCGGGGCCTCACAGACACGCTGCATCTCTCTCTCTCACAGACATGCTGCAGCGCAGTGTGCACACAGTTCTGCCGGTAATGAATATTACATTTTGTGAGGAAACTTTTCCACCAATAATTCCAATAAGTATTCCAAAATGTATTCACTTCAGGTTTATGAAAGTAACTGTAATCAGATTACTCGTTTTTCAAATGTAACGCCAGCTGAATACACTTGATTTTTGTATTCTGATTACGTAACACCATTACATGTAGCCGTTACATGTAGCCGTTACATGTAGCCGTTACAACCCAACCCTGCTGTGTATATCTCTCCGGACTGTCCACCAGCAGATGAAAAACACCCACCTCTCCGCCTCTTCCAAGGGACGAGGGAACCGTGCGGCAGAGTTTCCGTTAACATTGTTTTTCTTCTGACAGCCCAGCAGCAGGAGAGGTGGGGAGAGGGAGAGGTGGGGAGAGGGAGAGGTGGGGAGAGGGAGAGGTGGGGAGAGGGAGGCGGGGCTATTTCATCGTTATCAGAAAATGATCGTATAGATCGCTGCTAGATGAGGGCAGTGGGGGCTCTTCTTGGAGTCTGGCTTTTTTTTAAAAACCAAAGTTCATTAGTGAACTTTGAGCCATCATTTATTTTGCAGGCAGCTCTCTGCCTCTCTCACGTTATTATGTCGCGCGCCGGAACCAACAATCAGTTTTTACCGTAAATGAGTTCGGTTCAGAGGATAAAACACATACAACATTAATTAAACTCGATATTTGTTCACTTGAATTTAACTTTGAATTCTTGGATATTCTCAATGGGTGAATACATTTGTTTATAAGAATAATTAAATAATTAAAAATTAATTGACACCGAAGCTTTCTCAGGGTGGGCCAATGAGTAAACTGGGTGGGCCTGGGCCCACCCTGGCCCTATGGTGGCTACGCCACTGGCCACAGCGTTTGCAAAGATCGCGGCCACTCTAGTCAATGGGTGCTATTCCACCACACGTGGCGTGTTACGGCTCAGAAGCGTCCCAGAAGCGTCTCGGCGCAGGGCAACTCTAAAATTAGGATGAATCCTATTTTTGACGCGACGCAGCCGTAAGGTAATGTCGGGCAGGCAGGAAGTGGAGCGTTCAGAGCATATATAGCATATATATATACACACACACAAACTAATTTTGCAGACCCTATCCCTCCGTAGTCTTTCAAGTAGGAGGAGAAATGCCAGCGTTCTCCTCCGGTTTACAGGCACTGTGTAAATTATATATTGTGGTGCTGAGGAAAGGGAGTCGGAGGCGGTGTGTTTAGAATGGAGTTCCACTCTTTATTATAGGTTAACATTCAGAAGGTAATACACGTCTGCTCTACATGACAAGCTAGCAGGACTGAATAGCTAACGCTACAGGTGTTCCCACTAAAGGGTCCATGTAGCAACACAACAAGCAAGGTGAATTATGCTCCACAATATGGTGTCACCAAACAAGCCCCCAGAATTCACAAGTAAACCAAATCTGTATGGTGGGGAGGAACCACACGCCTACCCCCACGAGTCCTGCGAACCGGAGCCGGCACAGCCCCTGTCAGAGGAGGGATCGGAACAACAGGTCCACACCCCCTGACAAGAATCAAAGCCGGAGGGCGGCCCCGTCTCGGCGGTCGAGCCAGCACCACCGGCCGGTCCACGTCCAAATGAGCAGCCTTCACCCGGTCAATCGAGACGTGCTCAGCCTTGCCGCCCATGTCGACCACCAGGTGCTTGTCACCGTGCTCCAAGACCCGGAAAAGTCCATCGTAAGGGGGCTGCAGGGGGCCTCTGTGTGCGTCGTGCCGTGTGAAGACGTGCCCAGCCGAGCGTAGCTCCGCGGGAACTTGGAACCCTGGCGCACCGTGCTGCGAAGTCAGAACCGGAGCGAAAGCCTCCGCTGCGTCTCTCAGGAAAACCCGCTGGGGCGTGGCAGACCAGGGAGCTGATGCATTCGGGAGGAAATCCCCTGGAACTCTCAGCGGCTGCCCGTAGACCATCTCCGCTGTAGAGCACTGCAGATCTTCCTTAGGTGCGGTCCTCAGGCCCAGCATCACCCAGGGCAGCTTGTCGACCCAGTTACTGTCCCTAAGTTCGGCCTTGAGGGCCGCCTTCATGGAGCGATGGAAGCACTCGCAGAGGCCGTTAGCCTGAGGGTGGTAAGCGGTAGTCCTGTGTAGTGTTGCACGGTGTACCAATACTTGAACTGTACTTGAAATACTTGTACTGCTACCGCGATACCCTGCCGTTAAAAACGGTACGATTCCTCCGTTTCATTAGTATCGGTACTTTAAGAATGACGGGGAAAAGTACTCCGGTGAGAAAGCGCCGTTTTAATAAGAGCCGTGTGTGTTCAGCGCTCTGCTTCCACTCCCTCTTGTGGAGAATTGAAGATTTTATCACCTGATATATAAGAAGTGTTACGTTTGAATGGCAGAAAGTCTTGTTGCAATTTCCAGATATGGAAGGAGGCCCCTTGAGTTTCTCTGTTAATTATCAATAGTCTGGGCAAGTAACAGGGGAAGCCAGGGGGGGGGGATTTTCCTCAGATGTAATGCAGTTACATTCTTGTAGTTAATGATGCATGTCCTGCAGACCCAGAAAAAGCCTTGAGAATTGAGTCACACAGTTAAGAGAGACAATAGTCCTTCTGAATTATCAATAAATGTATTCAGTCCAGTAAAGCAGACTCCGAGGTGAAGGGAAGTTCACAGAAGCCTTTAGGCTACAAGAATAATCAACTTCTGTTAATGATAAAGATGTGTGTGCGTTAAAGATGTTTGGGGAAGAAGTGTGTCTAGCAGCAGCTAGATGGGATTACTGCTCAAAACGATATCTGTACTTGTGTTTTATATTGATTTCTCTGTTTTATTCTTTCATAAGTGTGAGGACTAAAATTGCTCCAAGCATTGTGGGGTGCAGGTTTGCAGGACAGGAGACTAGATGGGGGGAGGGGAGCAGAGAGGGAAGTCTGAAGAATGTGTGTGTGAAAGCAACAGAATGAGACAGCGAACACCAGATGTGGTTGTTTTGCTTCAAACTAAGACTGTTTCCGGATCATCTCGGCTGGCGCGCGCTGATTCGCTAAGACACGCCAGCTCCTCCTGTTTTGTTTTTGGCATGTAAGCCTGTTCTGCCTTTGGTTCATTCTCTCTTCCTCCGGCTGACAAGACAAGTAAGTTAGATCTCCCGGCGGGAGGAACAAGAGCCGGGGTAATCCGGATTACTTCGTGATGTTGTGTTATTGTATCTTTTGCCATTAAATCAGCATATTTGTTATAACCTTACCAATGGTTGCTGTGAATTCTTCCTCTGTTAATCTGACCCATTCACAAAAGGACGCGTGGAGGCAGGCGGGGGTCTTAGAGCCCCCGCCAAAGAATGACTCTGCCACAACAAGTAGTGACCCCGACGTGGGTGAAAAGGGTTGTTTAGAGGAAAACACTAGCAGCCAGCGGACGGAGGGAGATGCCTGGAATAATCTCTGACAACTAAGGATCCTACAACTGAAAGGTAAAACGGACGCCTGTTTCTATCGAAAGTCTGTAATTGTCTCAAGCTAAATTTTAGAGTTGTCAAAGATATTTCCAAGTGTCATTTACGGTAAAGAATGCAATACATATTTTATCATAGGTAGGTAAGTTATAAGATAAATAAAGCAACGGTTAAAAGCTTCGTAGATTTTTCAGAATCATACGGCTAAACTCGTTAGCTACAAGTGAAGCAGCGAAGTAGTTTCAGCGTCAGGTATTGAGTCTCTGGCGACTGGAAGGGTATAAGAGTCCCTATGCCTAGTGGAGGTATCGAGTCCCCACAGGGTATACTTCCTGGGGGGGTCAAATGGTTGTATCGAGTCTCCATCCGTGACCAATCAGAATAATGCTTTCCAGTGTCATAGGTCGCTGCAGTTGTATTATATGTCAAAATCCAAGCGCAGAAACGCGAACTTCAAAAGCCATTGAAATTAACGGATTTCTCACTGTCTTGTTCTGTTGGGTTTAACGCCCATTCTGTTGAAAGAAATATCGCATCTTAAAAGCTGAACAGACAGCGTGGAGGATATATTTATGTGCTTATGAATAAATACAATATATTATTGAACATAGAATAGCCTTAGTCAGATAAAGAAATGCGAAGTCATAATGGAAAGATACCACAAAAAAAAAAGAAAAGCCCCCCTTTCTCCACATTGCTCTAATTGCTGTGCAGCAGCCCGGAGC